TTCTGCTGCAGCATTACATGTTAAGCATCTATTAGCTAGTTGGAGCTCCTCTCGTCTTTAAGTCAAAGGCTTGGACATTTGGACCTTGAGGGGGGGAGGGGGAACCTCGCTTTGTGAGCAGTGGACTGTTCGGGATAATAGCAGGTTAAGGCCTTGTAGAAGGGGCATCGAGAACGTGCCTTTCGGGTTGGTCCAAATAATCTGAGGTCTGTCTGTCTATGAGGTGATGGTGGGGATGGGATTCAAACCATGTGACATCCCAAGTGTTCAATGTAGTCATCAGTGGTGGCTTCCCTTGTCACAGCTAGATTGAACAGGGTCGGGAAGGAAATTCAAGTGGTTGGTGCCCCAGCCTCTGGTCCCTTTAAAATCTTGTGCAATTCCCTGGTTTGCCTATGAAGCCCGCAAGGCTGGAGAATTTGTGTATTGACTTGGCAGATGGCTTTCCCGTCGCCAAAGGGTCTCATGGTTGATGGGCCCTAAGGGAGCCACCTGAACCATTCATGCCATATCTTTACTTGATCACACGTAGGTGGTCTTGGTCTGTGGCAAAGCACCATCATCACTTCCTGAGAAGGGCAGTGTTGCTATCCTGTAACTTCCTAATGCCCAGGTCCTTTGATTTCTTTGTCATACAGACTTTCTCCCTATTTGATAGGTTTATATCTATGAGAGCCACTTGCTCCATTTCAGAGAAAGTCTCTCATGGACTCTCCAACATGTGCCTGAATCCCTGATGCCTGTCGGCATTCACAATAGGCACATTTGGAAAACAGGAATGTTTCGTAAGGTGGCCTTAATTAGCATGATGTGGCCCCCCTATAGAGAGAGTGACGCTTCTTGGACCAGTCTTCTCTCAAGCGGCACTTCCTGGATGCCAACTAGAGGGAGAAAATGGCACTTCAATATTCCCGCTAGGAGCCACGATGCATAGGCTATCAACTTGCTGGTGAGTTGCATCACAACAGACAAGGTGTTGTCTGCATATAGGACATGGGAGGTGGTTTTCAGTCCTTGGACCATGACATGAGGTGGAGAAACCCTAAGGACCATGATTGTGTAGTCTTTTTGTGGACCTGCCGAGGGCATCAGCTTCTATGGCGAAACCTTGAGGGATCCATTGATTAGGATTGAGAAGTGCATGGAGGACAGGCACCCAGCCATCGGAGACCCATTTGATTCCGAAACCCATTAGGGACAGAATGTTATTGATGATTCCTCGATCAATCTAATTATGTCGCTTTTTTGAGATATAGTTTGCAAAAGCACCCAGGAGCTTTGGATTGGAATATCTTGGTGATGTACTTGTTTCTGATGAGCACACCATTTAAGATTTGCTTCCCTTACAAAGGCACCTTGGGGGTAAGATTACGTAATTCAGGACTGGATGAAGCCGGGAAGAAAGGACTTTAGCGAGTATTCTGTAGGAACTATTGATCAGACATATGGTTCTGAAAATTTTGATTTCCTCGTCCCCTTCTAGTTTTTGAAACAGGGCAATGAATCATGGCCTTGTTGATGGTACCCCTGACATGGAACTCGGCAAACCACTCCATGACATCCAGCCCTAGGGCCTTCCAAAGTTGGTGTGACAGAATAACTGGGAAGCGGTTAGTGCCAGGCGACTTGTCTTGACCTAGTTTGAGCATCTGACTTTTGGTGAAGGAACTTTTGAACCACTTGGCACTATCCTCTGAGATTGATTGGAAGTGGATATTGGCTATTTTGGTTGTAACAGATTCTTGGTGAGGAGAGGTTTTGGAAGAAAGAGAGATGATGACCCGGTAAGCTTCGTAGTGTTTGCCATAAGTTCTTCCCTGGTCTTTGATTTGGAGTACAGAATTGGTTCTTCTACAATTTGGTGATTTGTGGAAGAACGTTGTGTTTCTATACTGTTTTCCAGACATTTTGTCCTAGATTTTTGTTGCCAGAAAATTTCCTCCTGCATTATGGTATCCTATAGTTGATCTTTGTTCATGTTCTTCTCGATAGTTGCGAAGGGGAGAGGTCTCCCTGTACCTCAAGCAAGTTGAATTCTTCGATTTTGGAGCGGGGGGATTTCTTTCTTCTTTCCCCCCCTAAGTTTTAGGACCCCCAAAGTGGTCTTGGTTCCAAGCTATTAACTCCTTACTGTGTTTAAAGCCCACCCAGTCTTGGATTGAGACTGGGGGGGATTCTGTCCTCCAACCTCATCCTTTTGAACCTAAAGGAACGAGGATCAAATTGGGCTGGATGCGTGTCGAGGAGAATAGGTGTGAGGTCAGAGAAGGGTCAAGCAGGGATCTAGTGTGGACTCCCTAGAAGTAACCTTCTCAGTCCATGTTGATAAAAAACCTCTCCAACTTGGACAGAGTGGGGGAGAGTTGGTGATTTGACAAGGTGAAGTAAGCGCCAGGGGCAAGTCAATGGAGTTTTGAGCCTGGAGACAAGGGCAGATAAATTGGCCATGCTGACTGTGATCCTGGTCCCTCTATTTTTCTTTCGAACGAGCAGTGGTTCACATTGAAGTCACCTCCATGAAACCATGGGAAGGTGATGAGGTTTTAGATGGAACAATTTCTGCCCAAAACTGCGTTTTCGTGTGTTTGGAACATAGACAGCCGAGAAGTCCCATATGAGGTCATCGGCATTCCAGGAGAAAGAGATGGAAATACAGTAGTAACCAATGCAGGAAGCCATTTGGGTAAATGATGTGGTGTCTGAAAATACCCAAATGCTTCTACTTGGGTAAACAGTAGCGTTCCAAAGTATCCAAATGTCCACTGAGAAGCCTTGGGTTGGTAGGGAGGACCAAGCCATAGATATTTTGGCCCAAACAGAGCAAACCTCTTGTCGCTTTCAAGGTTCTTTTTCTATTTCTTTGAGAGTGAGGATATTAGGGCAGTATTTATTGTTGTTGTTGTAGATGGAAGTTCTTCTGAAGGGGTCAACCAGCCCCCACCTTCCCCCTGCCCCCGCTTCCCCCTGGTGGCCAAATTTCAGGTTTAGATTTTCATTAATTTGGGATTTGGGGTGTGGCTGTGGCATCACAAGGAACACCTCTGCAGGTAAATGTTGTTAGATATCAGGAAAAATAGGCGAGCAGATGGGGTTTCTTCGATGTTAACACGATTGGAGTTGAATCTTCAAATAAGGATTTTGAGTTCTCTATTAACCTTTCCTCTTTCCTCTAGCTCCTTTGTTGAGTATTTTTTTATTTTTTTAAGTTTTGTTGGGGTGGGGTGGGGTGGGGGGAGGCTCAGGTATCTTTTGTGGGAAATGGGTTGAAAAGGAGCGGAGGAGTTGCTAGAGGTGAAATGGTAATGCAAGGGTTTGGGTGCCAAGTGAGGGAGAGGGAGAGGGAGGTGTTTGTGTTTGGTGGTGTGAGATTGCAGCTGGGTGTGAGAGGTGAAGAGGGAGGGTACTGTATAGCTTTCACTTCTATCAATAAGCTGAAACTCCTAGAGTTGACTTATTTAGCTTGGTAATGAGTGCAGTTCCCTTCCTTCTGTAGCCTATGATACCCAAAGCTGAGTATTTTTGTTGCAACAGAAAACATGGCTAACTCTATATTTTAAATGTATTTTAGGATAGTGTACATGTGGGATGTTTGTACTCGAACATAGTTATATGGGATCTGTGCTGTATGTCGAGATTGTTATTCCAGCACTGAAAGAATTTGATATCGTAGACTTAACGGTTGCTTGAGCACTAATCAATGCAATCAAGGCCTAATTTTCTTTCAAAGTGATGATATTCTACGACATCTTGGATGACAGTGCGTTCCAAGAAAGTACGCTGAAATCTAGGACTGCCCATACAGGAGCAGGCATATGGGAGTGCTAGGAATGCAATGTTCACTCTCTAGAACATAAAAAATAGCTTAACATTAGGGGGTTGGCAATGGCCCGGGTGGCCTGGCCCAGTCCCTTGGCTAGCCCAGAACAGCCTAGGCCGGGGCCACTAAATTTGGCTTGAGCACTGCGCCCAAGCCAGAAATCTAGGCCCGGTGTCTTTGTAGGCTGGGTCAGGGCCAGGGGTAATGGTCAGGCCTGGCCCTGCCTCCTTTTTTTTATTTATTTTCATGAATTTAGAAGACAAAAAAATTAATATCTACAAATCTAGCGCGTCCCAACCCCATTAAGAGGCCGGGCCAGGCCACCAAGCCTAGGAATAGGGTGGGGACCCTTTGGCCTAGTCCATTCTGGGCCCTGGCCAGCCCTCTAGGGTCCAGCTGTTCTTGGCCCAGCCCTGGCCGGGCTTGTTGCCACCCATACTTTTACTCCGCTAGAATTTACCGAGAAAAATATTTGCCAAGGTTGTAGAGGATAGCAAACACTGGGCCTTATAATTATGGTTTCTTAACATAACCCAAAAAAACAATCGTATAGGAAAGCTCCCTGTGGTGGATACCCACACATTTGAACGCACATTTGAACTCTTTCTTTTTAGTTGTAATCTTGGTTTTTGGGAAGTAAAAAAGGAAAATACAATGCCCTTTTGTGGCTTTCTATTTTTGCTAAACTTCATCATTGAGGAATGAGGATGACCAACAACATTATTATTAATTATTTTATTTTCGTTTTTATTTGTTAAGAATGTGATTCAAAAGGTCAAACATGCGTTCTAGTTGTTGAGAGTTGAGAGTGTTCGTTTCTACGACTGTTGAGGTTTCATTCTTTATGTATCGTTCCTGTGTCTTTTTACGGCCTTGGCAACTTAACATCATCAATCACTCTCCAGCTAAATCTATTGCTCATCTCTTGCAATAGGTAACTTGTATGACCATGTTCACAACTTGTCCATTTGTCTGCACAATTTTGCTTCTTGGTTTTTGCACTAGTATTATTTTTTTCTGGAGTCTTCCCATGACTAGAAAAACATTGGTGAGTATGGTTACCTTGAATCACCCTATTGATGGTGGCCAATGAAGGGGCCACCATTTTGTTTTGTGTGTGTGTATATGAGAGAGAGAGAGAGAGAGAGAGAGAGTCTTACTGACTATTCAGTGCAATTTCAAGATGGTGGCGAATGGCGGGGCACCACCAAGAGGCAGTGCTGCTGCTGCAGCAAGCTTACGCAGGCGTAGGGCTGCTGGAGGCAGTGGTGGCTCCTCTGGAGCAGCAGCTGCTGGAGGAGGTACGATGCTCCAATTCTACACTGATGATGCTCCAGGCCTGAAGATCAGTCCCACTGTGGTCCTCGTCATGAGCATCGGCTTCATTGCATTTGTTGCCATTCTCCATGTCGTTGGAAAGTTTTACTTTGTCCCAAGAGATTTAGGGAGGTCTCAACAATAGAGAGTTTTGATATGAATTGTAGGCTTATTTGAAACGTTTTGAGCTTTGTTCATTTTTTGCTTTTATATCTTGACTAAGAGCGACTGTCATAGGATTTTGCCGTTCTATAGTGGTGGCTTGACATGAATTGTGTAATCTTTGTACTCTTTTGGTTTTAGATGCCTTTCAAAAAGAATATCATGTTTTGTTGCATTTATCAGAAGATTTGTGGCTGGTCTAAAAAGGGTAAGGACTTTAAATTAAAAGGGTTTGTTATGTTAAGCAGGCAGCTGATATAAATCTTTGTTCAAACTTTTTATGAATTTGGAATATGTGATTAAAAGCTTTTTCATCACTCTCTCTCACACAAAATTCAACCATGTTTTGAAAATATCGCGGATGATGACGGCAGTTTTTTTTGTAGGCACCAATATGGTTATATGCTAAAGCACAATTGTGGTACATATGATACGTATGAAAAAATGGTTGGGCTGCCTTTATTTGCATCATTTATTTGCCTCATATTTGAAACAGTTTGAAATATTAAATTTGTGTATAATCCATACTAATGGGTACCTTTTATTTTAAGGTGAAATCGGGTGATTGAGGATACGTTATTGATTGGGTACAAAATTCAAAATAAAATTTCTCAAATCTTTTTAATGGTATGAATGGTATGAATTTTACATGCAATAGTTAATGATTGTGACCTGCTTATATGAATGGTATGAATTTTACATTCAATCCCTTTGTTTTATAGTTATATCCATTGCTAAGGGTACATTTTTCCCTTTGTTTTATAGCTATAACCATTGCAAAGAGTTACATTTTGAATATGGAAGGAGATGACTAAATTTTGGGTGATCGCACATATACTCTGCTCTTGCATTCCCCAGTGTGGGAACACAAAGTTATATTTACTCCCGGTGGCGAATGATTTACCTAGAGGATTTTCGTGACCGCAAACTTTGTACAGGTTGGCTTTAGAATATTTTCAAAAAGGATAAGATTTTGAGCCCCCTTAAAACACACCATGGTTTGATCGTCCAATAGTTGAATGGCAGTGTAGTGAAACGCAACCCAGCCCTGGGCCAGGGCGGGTAATGCAGACTGGGTCTGGTAACCCATCCCTGGTAAGCCAGGTCCCTATTAAGGCTAAAAATTGTCAAAAAATAAAAAATGCAAAAAATCCCAACAAAATATGATAATTATGATTAAAGTAAAATTAAACGAAACACTTTTAAATGAGGTTAAAAAAGTTATGATTGGGGGCATTTTAGAAATAATTCGAAAAAGAAGGAAAAAAAAATGTAAAAATCTTAGAAAACATAAAAAGAACACATTGCAAATTAATTTCTCCTTGTTGGTCTATTTCTTTTTGACATATTTTCTCTCAAAATCACATGAATAATTTTGCTTTTAGATTACATAGATGATTTTATAGGGAAAGCTTATCATAACGGCAACAACAGGAAGTCTTAAATTACCAGGATAAATTTATTTTACTGGGATATTAACAAAGTTAATATTGACATCTGAGCAGTTCATGATAAAATACGGATAAATTAAATTTATCGAAGATAAAAGTCATTAAACTTGTAACTAAGGACCGCGAGCTACAGTGTGGAAACGCATGCAAAAGTTTCATTCCTGAATAATAATGTCCTCTCCTTGCTCTATATGTGTCATTGACAAGTAAAAGAGCCAAGAAGCACTAAGACCCTACCTTTGCATGCCTCTAAAGGCATGTTTGATAACAGGGAGTTTTAACTCTAGAAGTTGGAAGTTCCAGTTTAATGTACTTCCTTGTTTTATGACAGGATTATGGTTGGCAATGGGCATGGTGGCTTGGCTCAGATATGTTGGCCTGACCATAAGAACTAGGGCCTGGATGTGGCCCGAGGGCTGAGGGATGACTGAACTAGAGAGGGCCTGCTGGGCTGGGACCTTATTGTCCTCCATGTTTTACTTTTTTCGCTTTGGGTCCGCTAGGGCAGGACCAGGATCGTGCTAGGGTTAAGGCCTCTTCGGCCTAATCAGGGCCGTGCCTGGAATGATCTGAACTTAGAGGGACTAGAGCTGGGCTAGGCTTAGGGCTAACCAAACACCCAGGCCCGACCTAATGCCGGACATAAATAGGAAGTATTAGGAAGTTTAGGGTTCTGAAAAAATGATAACCTGTGACTTCCATCTTCCCCATGGAAGGTGACTTATCTTTTTAGGAAGTTGGCTTCTCACTTTTTTTTTTTTCGTGTTCTTTCTCTTTAAATCTCCAACTAATTTTTCTCTCTAACCATGCCATTTCTCTCTCTAAATCCTCTTTCTAATCTTACTTTTCCCTCTCTGATTCCTCCCTCTAACTATGCGTTCTCTCTCTAACTCATTGATCTCTTTCTCTTTGATACCTTTCTCTCTCTAAGACTTCCATCTCTACTTATGTCCTTTGTGTCTAGTTCTCTTTAGCCATGTCATTTCTTTATTTAGCCATGCCCTTTCTCTCTTTGAGTCCCCTCTTTCTAACTGTACTTTTTTTCTATCTAATTTTTTTTTTTATCGCCTTTTCTCTCTTTAACTCTTCTCTAAAATAGTGTCTTTTTGTGTCTAATTTCTCTCTCAATTGTCTACTTTCTCCGTCTAACTCCTCTATCTAATAGTGTGCTTTCTGTTTCTGACAGTGCCATCTCTCTCTATCAAAAAAAAGATAGTGCATTTTCTCTCTTTAACCATATTCTCTCTTTCAGTTCTCTCTTTTATAATCATATTCTCTCTCGAACTCTGTTCTCCCTAAATGTTTCATTTTCCCCTTCAACTCAATTCCCTCTTTCACTGCGTCCTTTCTCTAATTCATCTCTCTAACTCCTTTTTTCTCTAAATGTTTCATATTCCCCTTCAACTGTGTCCTTTTTCTAATTCATCTCTCTAAGGGCACCTTTCTCTCTAAACCTTTTTTTTCTCTCTCTAATCATGTCCACTCTTTTTTTTTTTGACAAATGTTCCATAACATTATTAAGAAAAAAGGATTACAACGAGATTAAATAATAATATCATCCGAAATAGTTAAATATTGCAAAGACACACCTCATCTTACCAAAGAATCTGCCACTTCATTACCCCAGACATTTAAATTGCGGATCATCACTATAATCTCCATCCATTCCGGTCTTAACTTTCACGTTGTTCTCGGTTTGTGAGTGCACTAATTAAATACATTCAAAGAGTTACACTCAATCACACAAGGACTTTGGAATTTTTTTTTTTTTTTACAGTTAACTTTGGACAATTCTCTCAATAATAATTTTAAAACCTTGTTATACTGTTAGCAGTTTCGCTTTATTAGCCGTCTTGACTCCACATGGACCTACAAAGCAAAAAATGCACTCATCCCGATGATCCCTAACTATTCCCTCCACACCAATTGGACCTGGATTACCTCTGCCATCGCAATTCATCTAAATAGTAAAAGAAAGATCTATGTGATATTTTATTGGGGAATACAAATTTTTTTATTTTTATTTTTTCACCCCTTTCTTTTGGCAAAAGATCACTTACATGTGGTCTTTATTATAATAAGATAAATTTCAAAATAAAATCAACATAACAATAAAACCAAGATCTTAACAACTTGATGCCATTGAAACAACTATGCATTATGCTTGAGAATAAAAGATAATATTATAAGAAACAAAAGGAAGAGTGCCGAAGATTACCTCAACTGAGTTTATTACACCCCACACCGAGTCACTACCATCCGATAGCGTGGGATCAACGGTCTAACTTCAATCTCGAATCGAGAAAGCAAATTTCGGCCAAGCCACACCAATGGAACATGAACCCATTTGATCACAAACTCAACCCGTAGGTGAATTCTCTTAGCAACCTAGTTTGAGAAAGATGAATTGTTTTTTTGCTAAACCTTAAAATCCTTAGCCATAAATTTATATTTGAGAGATAGGAGAGAGAAGAACTCCATAACTTAAACCTTTAGATTCTTTCACAATGTGGGAGAGAAAGATCAAATATGAGAGAGAGACTTTCTTAAGAGAGAGATAGAAAGATAAGGTGTAGAGATTTTGGGTAGAGACAATCCCTTTTTTATAAGCTTGAACAAGATTAGGATTTCTTAGGTTTTCTTTGGCTTGACTCTTCTTATGAGATTGAATATAGACCGTCGATCAAGGGTGACATGTGGGGTGAGAGATATGAGCCATCTATTTCATAGATAGACCATCAACATTTTGGAAGGTGCATGGACCATTATCCCTCTTTCCGTAGCTATTTTTCCATCAATAGAAATTAAATAAATTAAATCTAATTAAAGTATTATACATTCCATAATCTTTCACAAAATATTCCAAAGATATATCAAGTCAATATACACTTTCAATATTTGGTCAATATATGGTCAAAATATTCCATATCTTATTTGACCACATGTCATAACATAATATTACCAAAACATGAAATAACTTAAACTCTAAGAAAGAATCCAATGGGTGGGGCGTGCCACCCATGTGTGGCACATGTGGGCCCCACCCACTTGACACATGGTGGGCCCATATGCATTATTGGCCCCTCCATGATATTTTATATAATTTTAAATTATCAAAAAAATTCTAAAATATTATTTGAATTTTATAATTTTTTAAAATCAATATCTTCATTTTTATAAGTCCAAAAAAAATTATAAATAAAATATCAAATGACTCATAAAAATTCAAATAATAATTCAAAAATAATTTCTATCATAAAATAAACATAATTAAATTAACTTGATGGGAATTTGATCCATATGGTTAAGGAATATAATCTGCAATCATGGGGCACTCCACCTTCAATTGTGGACTACTGACCACACTTGTCTTATTGAATCGACCCAGTGTTTCCTATGACCTACAGTCCAAGCAGATGCTCATTAGCAGGTCACCAAAGTTTGGAGGGTGAGCTAAGGGGTCGCAATCCCAGTCTGTAGATTATAGGTCTTCCCTTGGAGACAAGTCAAGGTCACCAAGACCTTATACGACCACAACTCTATGGCGCATAAGGGTATCTCTCGTACATGCATAAGTTTCACCCTAAAAGGTGGATTTCTGGCTTTTTCGAACGATCTATCGATATGCATGCCGTGTGATGGCACAAGGATGATGTTTTGACCCCTATATCTGTAGGCCACCATCACACACAAGGGTCACACAGTCCCTCGGCTCACTCATTCAGGCATGTTCT